TGCAGATGCTTATTGTTTATAATTTTTATAATTCTGCTGTGGGCTGATGATGTTTTAGCCCCCAAACAAAATTGCACACACACACACGTGTGTATATATATATATATATATATATATATATATATATATATATATATATATATATATATATAAAATAATCCAGACAAGGTCAACACACAACACAAATAAATTGTTTAGTCATTTGGTGAGATTTTGGGAAATGGACTATGCCAAGAACTTTTCAATACCCTTGTATTATAAAAAAAAAAAATAACAAAAAAAATAAAAAATTTTCTCTAAGTTTCAATAAAAAAAAAGCAAAAAAAAAAAAAAAAAACAAAGCAAAAAAAAAAAAAAAACAAAAAAAAACAAAAAAACAAAGCTAAAAAAACAAAACAAACAAAGCTAAAAAAAAACAAACAAACAAAAGCTAAAAAAAAAAAAAACAAACAAAGCTAAAAAAAACAAAACAAAGCTAAAAAAAAACAAACAAAGCTAAAAAAAAACAAACAAAGCTAAAAAAAAAAAAAAAAAAAAAAAAAAAAAAAAAAAAAAAAACAAAAAACTAAAAAACAAACAACAAACAAAGCAAAAAAAATAGTCAAAATACATGAAATAAATTTCATAGCAAATATTGATTTTTGCTTTTTCTAATAACTGTAGGTCAGTTTTTAAATCATTAGAGATTTTATTACGGGTAAAAATAGACTAAAAGACTGACTAATAAAAATGGCAGCAGTTGTTCTAAGTGGCAAGAAGGATTTTAAAATAATTTAAAATATATGTAGTAACAAATTACATTATATTTTGATTCATTTAAAAATTCAATCATTTCTTTTAAGGCAATATTTTTTTTTTTCATAAAAATAATAAAATGCTGGAAACTTGCACACACCCAATTTAAAAACTTGAATATTTTAATTACATTATTTTTATTTACAATTGGACTAATGTTGTCCTCTTGTTACTGTCACAAGGTTTCGACCATTGTGCACGCCAGCTTTCTTCAGGTGTCTGTCATTCCAAGTAACCTTCAGGGAATTTTGAACTAAACTTTATTTAATCTACAAAGGTAGATTGTTCTCGTTTCACTATCCATAACTAGAGAGGTCTTGTGTGAAGCTTATACCTGCTCATCTACAGACTGAAACTTCAAAACTCCAAGGTGTTGATTCTGGTTTATGTTACTCTGTATTAATACCAACTTCAGGGTGGAGATTGTTGCATATTTTTCACTGGCGCAAGTGGTCCATATTCAGGTGAAATTTTTAAGCATTTCACCCCAAGCAAGGCAGGAAGCCACTAGGACGCAAGGGGTTACAGAAAGTTTAGAGCAAGATCAGATAGGAGTGATAGAAGAAAGGATGAAGGTAGTGGATAGATCAAGGCAACTGGAGATGTCGATTGACATTACGCTTGAATAGCTGGAGATTATAGCTAACAGGGAAACAGGAATAGGGAAGGGAGTTCCACAGGCGAGAGGTGCGAGACATGAAGCTATTAGAGTAGAAGAGACGGCTACATTTAGGAGTTTTGACAGTGAAGGGGTGAGAGCAGGATGCCAGCCTCGTAAGGCGCTGGAACACTTGACGTCTGGGAACCAGCGAATGCAGCTCCTCGGAGCAATTTCCATGAAAGTATTTGTAGAACAGACAGAGGGAGATGACGGCGCGTCTGTGAGAAAGTGACTGTAGATGAGACGCCAGGGCAGGGCCAACCATATTTCATATCCGCCTCTGGAGCCTATCAAGAACCCCGAGGCAAACAGAAGGAGCACCAGACCATATATGGCAGCAATACTCCATGCAAGGGCGAATTGTTGATTTGTAGATCTGGAGGATCGACTCCAGGGAGAAAAACTTCCTAGCGCGGCTCAGGGAGCCAACTTTCCTTGCGGTGGACGGAGGCAATTGACTCAATGTATTTATTCCATCTCAGGTCAGCGGTCAACGCGAGACCGAGAAGCCGCAGAGAGTTGCTCTCGAGAAGTTGAGCGTCAGACATTCTAATGGAGGGAAGGGAAGGATCTCTGTGGTGATTTATAGAGAGCAGTTTTGTCTTAGAAGCGTTGAAGTTGACCAGCCAATTCATGCCCCAGTTCACAATTGATTGGAGGTCCTTTTCGAGACGCACGGCCAGGTGAGTTTTGTCAGCGACACTAGATTTATTTTTGAGGCAGGAATAAATTGTGGTGTCATCCGCGTATATGCCAACTTGGGAAGTTATGGCGTCATGAAGGTAATGTGAAAGCTGAAATTTCAAATGTTCAATTTCCAAAGCAAGCAGGCCCTCCCCAATTATAAACCTGCTAAAACTATCATCCTTCAGCTATCTGGCCTAATCAAAACTCAGTAAATATTTGCTAGATATTTTTTCAAAAGCAGTGTCTCTTTCATCTGATTATCAAGTTTAATGTCATGATGTGCTGATGCAATTCATTTATGCTAGTAAAGTTGACATATTCCCCCCCCCACATACAAAGGTACACGTCATCAGCCTGTAGGTAGACAACTGGACCATATATCATTGAATTTTTATATGAAATTGTTGCCGTATAATGTTTGCTCTAAATTGTTCATCTTCATTAGTGAATGAAGTGCATTAACAAAGAATGTGATGATGAAAAGTAAATATAATTAAATGCTTTTTTTCCCTATTAAGTGACAGACATTGTACATACAAAGTAATTACCAAATTAAAATGCTAATAGGTGTATATATTTTTGTTAAATATATACACCTAATATAACCAGTTCATTCTTTACTAACTGTCCCATAATAAATAGTACATTTAGTGTATGAAATGTATATGTAATAACTATTATTGGACAGATGTATTAATATATATATATATATATATATATATTTTATATGCTCTTTGTTAAGACAAATCGAGTCCTCCAGTCACTAGCGGGTTTATCAAAAAATAAACACATCTAAATTCACTTTCATCCTGCAATGGCTTAGGGGTAGAGTCTGACTGATACCAAATTAGTTGGGTTTTGATCCCAGCTTGAGGCACTTAAATGTCTAAGCCACACTGATGAGCTGTAAAACAGTGAAACAGTCTGTAGATGACTATATATATATATATATATATATATATATATATAAATAAATAAAAGTTTTACATTATAATTATTTTTTATTATATTTCATCAATCATTGAAGGGTCAAACTTTTTTCTCTCTCTCTCCTATATATATGATAAAAATATAGTTATAAGGTATGCAATATTCATGGGTAAAAGTGCTCAATATCAGAGAGAGTGTATGTAAAAACAAAAGTGGACATAAAATAACAACTCTGTTTCATGCTTACAAGCAATCTTTAGTCTCTCCAGATGGCCTGAAGATTGTGTAACCATGAAACAGACTGTTTCCACAGTATGTTGACACTACTCTAAAATATAGTTTTTTTTAATGTCTTAGCTATATTTTTTATATTGAGTACTATGCAATATATATATATCTGTATGTGTGAGAACATATATCAAATGTAAGTTAAAATATGTCATTAACTTTCGAGTTTTTATTTTCAATTACTTACATGTGGCAGTATATGTTGTATTTCAGTCACCTTAGTGGTTCTTGTTTAATAAAAGGTAATTGATATACATATTCAGCTTAAATATTAAAAGACAAATAAAACATAAAAATTTGACAAATAACTATTTGGTTATTTGATATAATGGAATATATATACACCTGTGTTCCCCCTCACTGGAATATGATTGGCTGGTGTCCATCATAAATACCGATGGATGTGTAGGTATGACAGAGTCAGAGCCTTAGTCTGAGGGCTAAGTCTATAACAACGCCCATTGGACTACGCCACTGATCTACACTTGTTACCTGCGACTACAACACGTACCAGTCGATTACTGCTACTGTATTCTACTTGGTTATAGTAGCCAAAACCACTTAGCTACTTCGTTCAAATATATCTATTTCCAGGACACATCATTATTCATTTCCAGTTTGGTCTTCAGTAATTTACAAAAAATAAATAATGATTATTATCTTTAACAGTTTTTATAATTATAAGGATTTTTCTTTAAATTAATCTCACAAGCCAACACAAAGAGAACTCCTACACTCATATATATATATATATATATATATATATATATATATATATATATATATATATATATATATATATATGACAGAGAGAGAGTGAGCATGTATGTGAAATATTTACATAAACTATCACCATTCCACTGATGTAATAAATGTTTATTGGCTATGAGGAAAGATCAGAATGGTATACATGCATATTATCATCATGTTACAATAAATATTATCTTTCCAGTCTTGTCCCAGGAATGTGTGGGTGGTGTAGAGGATAGCAGTTCAGAATGAGAAATCAAAGAGCAGAGTTCAGATTCTAGTCAGCTTCGTTAAATTCACGTACACACAAATACTCTTGATCCATCTCCTCCCCCCAACTATGAGTTAAATAGTAGGACGTATTGAGGGGGGGATCATTGTTATCTCTTCAGTCTTGTCCTAGCTGGAAATTTCTGCTAGTATTTAATATGCAGCATTACAAAATCTACACACACACACACACAAAACAATTAAATAAAACTGATAAAGTATTTACACAGAATTTGGTATAAAGTTTTATAGAAAAAAGAAATTACAAAAATTTGCAAGATAATTTAAGTTTATTTCTATATTAAATCAAAATGAAAATTAATATTACTGTAAAATTTTATCAATTAACAGCCTCCTTTATGAGCCAACTTAATACTCGAACCGCCCCCCCCACCACCACCACACACACACTCCTGATTTGCTTTACTAAAAGTCATTAAAGTAGTTTATACAGGTGATGGGTGTAATTTGCTAGGCATATGCTGCTACACCTGGTTTGCTGACAACCTCAAAATATCTGCACACCTATCTCCCCTGCATGCTTACACGTTTGGGACAATGGGTGATATTACAACTAAGAGCAGTGAAAGGTTAGAAGATAACTCTTGTATTAGTCAAGTCACAACAATGATACTTGAGAGAGTAGTAGGTCTGTAAGGTATGAGACAATATGGGTTTTGTTTTTGTGAGGAGAAAAGTGAAAAACAATTTGAAAATTGTCAGTCCCACACAAAAGAGAGGTAGGGAGAAAGAGGAGAGGCAGATAGGGAGGGGTGGAATTGAGAGGGGAAAGGGAGATAATGAGATGGAATAGGAAAAGAAAAGATGGTGACAAAGATAAAGGAAAACATATGCACACACATGCACGCACATACAGGAGGAGACAGAGAGAAAGAAACACACACACAGAAACAGAGAGAGCTGGGGGGGAGCAGGCGAGGGAGGGGGAGAGGTAGAGACAGGAGACAGAGACGGAGACAGGGCGAGGGGAGGGAGGGGGAGGGGAGAGGTAGAGAGAGAGGAGAGGTAGAGAGACGGAAAGGGAGAGACAGAGAAAGAGAGACGGAAAGGGAGAGACAGAGAAAGAGAGACGGAAAGGGAGAGACAGAGAAAGAGAGACGGAAAGGGAGAGACAGAGAAAGAGAGACGGAAAGGGAGAGACAGAGAAAGAGAGATGGAAAGGGAGACACATACAAATATACACAGAAAGACAGATAAAGAGACAGACACAAACCAGAGAGGAAGACAGACACAAATCAGAGAGGAAGACAGACACAAAGAATCTCCCTCTTGCTATTGTCGAGATCTAAGTGGGAGTTTGCATTTTCTAAACTTCAAAAAGAGAAAATGAACAAATAATCAACTTGGAACAAAAATATCTTTCTTTTGTCAACATCAAAGTAGTTTAAAAACAAAATTCTTTTTAACTACTTTGATATTTAAAACCAACATAGAAGAAAAAAGACAAATTGCACTGCGTTGAATGCAAGCTCGTATGACTTTCTTTTTACATAAGCATTGACTCATAGACAAGTCAAACTCTGCAAAAGTATTTGTCTGACTGAAGTCATTGTACTAAGTTTAGAATTATATATATCCAACAAGCAAAATATTATGAACTAAATCAAAACAATTTTCTCTAAGAATTTACCCTGCAATCTTTCATAAATTGGTGTCCACAAATAAATATTCAAGAAAAATTGAATTTAAATCTTCTTAAAAACAAATTACATATCAAATCAAAAAAAAAAAAAAAAAAAAAAAAAATTAAAAAATTTCCTACTATGTATGCCGCTTCTTGTACAGTGCGGTTCGATAAAAGTGACTCACCTTATCTCTTGAATTTTGCTCAACTTTCGTTTCATCGAAGAAGAGAACATTCTTCTAGTCTTCTACAGTGAAATTTTTGTAATAGTGAGCCCATTCAAGTCTCTTGGCTTTGTTGGCTTTGCTTATTATCAGCTTAAACCTTCATGTACAAGACTAACACCTTGCTCTTCGCTTAGACTGTCTGCAATTTCTTGGCTAGTTATAGTCCTATTCTTCACAACTTCTCTCTTGATTACCCTGCCAGTTCTATCCTCAATCTTTTTCTTTCGTCCCTTTGTTTCCTTCCTTGGAGCAGGAGTGGCATCATTATGTGCCCTAAGCACTCGAGAGACAGTTGATTGTGAGGTTATAGCAATTTTTGCAATTTCTCTTGTAGAATTGCCTGCTTTTGAGAGGGCAATAATAGATGCTTTAAGTGGTTCTGATGCGTGTTTGTACCCTTTTTATCTGGTTAGTGACTTGAGTGGCTATTTCAAGCTGTTTTTATACTGTATGAGGCTTTCTGGAATATTCTGGAATACTCTAGATTTAATTCAAGCTGTTCTAGAATTCTCTAGAATATTGTTCAGAGTGTATTGTAAAATAGTTTTCAATATTTTGTCAAACGTTCTTTAAATCTACCAGTTTAATCATCAGAATGCAATATCTGAGTCACTTTTTTTGCACAGAGTTTTTTTCCTGAATCTCATTTATATCCAAATTTATAATTATCAATAGAATACCTTTGGGTGAATAAACTTTTTTTCCTAGGTGGTCGGTAAGGGGTCTTTATATTAGTAAGATTAAAAATTATTTTAACCCCAAAAACAATAGACAAAAAATATTTTTAGTAAAAAAAAAAAAAAAAAAAAATCAGGTGAGTCACTTTTATTGAACAGCACTGTATGTGCTGTGTCCCGATCATGGCTCTCTATAGTTTCCTGTACTTTGTAGCTCTTAATAAATTGTCTTTTTGTAATTTTTTTTTTAATCATTTCATCCCAAGTAAGATAGTAAAGCCACTAAGATGTGAGGCATTACTGAGCAAGAAAGAATTAAAAAAAATAAAGAAATATTAACTAGTGAGAACAATAAAAGAGAAATCAAAAAGACGGTAGATTATGATTGACATTGCATTTAAATTTTTTGAAGATCAAAGTTAGGTGGAAAACATGTAGCCAGAAAAGAGTTCTACAAGCAAGAAGTGCCAAGAGAAGAAACTGTTAGCATAGAACTCATGATTACAGATAGCAAATTCAACTATAAATTTATGAGACCTTGTGCCAATCTAGTACTGTGCTTAAATTCATAAAGTCCAGGTGTCACCAGAAAGTTAATCCAAACAATTACCATGAAAGTATTTATAGAAAAAGCGCAGTTAAGCTACATTACGGTGGTGGAAAATGACTGATGCTGAGATGCCAGGTTAGGATCAATAATCTAAACCTTGTTCTGCCATCCATTTACTCAAGCTCGTTAGTTTGTGTTCTTTTCCTCTATCACTTTTGCTTTGAATCTGTTCTGTGAGTATCAAATTTTCCAAGCCCCCTTTCCTTATGTACCTTGGAAATTTCAACTGTGTCTTCATGTTAAATGAGAGAAATGTTTATTTACAAACACAAAGATGTAAATGAACAAAACTTTTAAACTGAAAATCATTTATTGGCAATTCAAGTGTAGCATAATTTAAAAAGGACATGTATTTTTAATACTTTAGAATGTATCAAAAGAAATTCAAACTTTTAGAACAGTTGATAAACAAGAATGGTGCAAAGCACTTCAAAAAAGGACAAAATTTCTTGAAAGCATTTTTAGGAGGAAATGTTGAATGTTCTCAACCCAACCAGAAAAAGCCCTTAAAAATGAAATAAAAATAAAATAAAATAGACTAATAAAAACTACATTGACAAATTTTGGGAAGTGGGACAGATTAATAAACTTTACAGCATGCCCTCAGAAATTAAAATTCAAGTTAATAATGGTTATAATTTAGCCTGGGGTAAGTTGCACATTTACCAAAAAATGTGTGGGAAATCTGAGACCAGATAAAAAAAAAAAAAAAAAAAAAAAAAAAGGGTAAGATTTTTAATGCTGATTTTTTAAGACAGGCCTCTACCCTCCCAACAGTTTTCTTGCACACATCTAATCTGATGTCATACAATATGGCACGAGACTAAATAGAAACTTAGTACAGCACAAGACCAAGCTGGAATGGTTATTTTCAGGGAAAAAAATAAAATGTTTTTTAAGGGTTTAAATAGAAATCAAATATAATACTATTTTCAAGTACCTTTGAGTTTCAAATAAATGGGCCAAGATGATTCTTCTTTTTGGGAGAAAAATACACCTGGGGACATTCTTATTCCAACCATCCTTTTTATTGAATATCTAACCCCCCACAAATTAGGCTGTTAGTATGTTTGTATGTATGGCTGTCAGTGTGTTTCCTTACAGAATATTATAACAAAAAAAAAGTTATCCCTATCTATTTGAAACTTAAGTGTAACATGTTCAGAGACAAAATTTGTATAACAGTATTGCTATATTGACTAAACCTAGATTAGCCTGACAGGCTGAATTCAGTTAGAAACCTGGTTTGAAAAATCAGCATTAGAAACATTAGTTTTTTAGCTAAGTTCCAAATATCTGCAGGAAATTTAACCAACTTCCAGAATTCACTTAGTCTGGCACAAGACCACAAGATGGAACACCGAGTAACAGAGTCCCATTAAATGGTCTGTGAGATCAGCTTGCTAAATATAGTGACAAGGCACTTGTTAATATTTATTAAGCTTAACTTAATCTAACACAAGGCCATAAGTTTCAAACTCTTATTGCGGAATGAACTGAGTGTAATAATAAGTTTGCAAGTCGAGCGGACTAACTTCTGCTGTATGGGGAAAAAAAAAAAAAAAAAAAGAAGAAAGATATTTTACTAAGCTTAGCTTGATACAAGGCCACAGATTTAGAGCATCCTCTAGGCATCAAACACTCATGAAGACAAACGTTGAAAAATATGGTATAATGAATGATAATTGAAGCACTTTAAAGGCATGATGATGTAGCTTCTTGACGTCAAAAAAAAATTGTTTTTATTACAACACAGAAATAAGCGTTGCATTCCTGTTTGAAAAACTGACCTATGAACAAGGAAACTGATACAGACATAGTAGATGTCCAAACACGAGGAGTATAATGCAATAGCTGTTAAAAGTTAATGGCAATGTGTTAACATATGATCTGGTAAATGTGAGAAAAAGAAAAACATAGCCATAATGATATTTCCGTTTTTGCTGTCACATAACCCATAATTATTCTGCTACCTTTTCATTTTTTAAACACTATATGGCTAACTACTTGATTTTGAATTTTAGTGGCTGTCGACTGATCATATGTCAAATGTAAAATTAGAGACAGTCTTCATGGTAAGTTTCTTGCTTTTAATCTCAAATTGTACAGGGCAGATATACAGAAGAAAAATGGCTACATGATGATTAAATATTTATTAAGGAAAAAAAATAAAAATAAATATGACAACATTAACACTTTCGTAGAAAGTAGGAAGAGGATCGATCTAGAGAGAGAGAGCGAGGGAGAGGAATAACAGGAGAGGCAGAGAGCGAGAGAGAGGAGTAACAGGAGAGGCAGAGAGCGAGGAGTAACAGATGAGGCAGAGAGCGAGGAGTAACAGATGAGGCAGAGAGCGAGGAGTAACAGATGAGGCAGAGAGAGAGGAGTAACAGATGAGGCAGAGAGAGAGGAGTAACAGATGAGGCAGAGAGAGAGAGAGGAATAACAGATGGGGCAGAGAGAGAGAGAGGAATAACAGATGGGGCAGAGAGAGAGAGAGGAATAACAGATGAGGCAGAGAGAGAGAGGAATAACAGATGAGGCAGAGAGAGAGAGAGAGGAATAACAGATGAGGAATAACAGATGAGGAGAGAGAGAGAGGAATAACAGATGAGGCAGAGAGAGGGAGAGAGAGGAATAACAGATGAGGCAGAGAGAGAGAGAGAGGAATAACAGATGAGGCAGAGAGAGAGAGAGAGGAATAACAGATGAGGCAGAGAGAGAGAGAGAGAGAGAGAGGAATAACAGATGAGGCAGAGAGAGAGAGAGAGGATTAACAGATGAGGCAGAGAGAGAGAGAGAGAGGATTAACAGATGAGGCAGAGAGAGAGAGAGAGAGGAATAACAGATGAGGCAGAGAGAGAGAGAGAGAGAGGAATAACAGATGAGGCAGAGAGAGAAATTGGAGAGAGAAGATAAGCTTGAAAGAGAGAAAATAAGGAGAGGGCAAATGAGAGATAGAAAAGGGGCAAAAGTGTGAAAAAAGAAGGGAGAAAAAGAGACTAGAGAGAGAAAACAGCAGGAGGAAGAAAAAAAAAAGGGATGGAATTGAATTAAAAAAAAAAAAAAAGGGATGGAATTGAATTAAAAAAAAAATAAATAAACAACATTAACAAGGGACAAAGAACTGAAGGAAAGGAGAAAAAGAAAGAAAAGAAAATCCTCAAAATAAATCTAACAGCAAGTGGCTGACTACCAGAACCTTGCCCAAAAACTAAAAGAAAAATTGTAGAATACGAAAGTCATAATAATAGACATAATACTTGGAGCTGCTTACCAAAAATGGAATTGAAATCTTGAAGAATTAAAACTATTCCTACAACAGTAACAATACTGGTTTAAGGGTGGGGGACTTGGCCCTTGAAATAAAATCTAGAAATGTATGAACATCAGTTGCCAATTATAATACTTTAAAATTGGGCACCTCAAGGTGGTGTAATGGTTAGCAAGCTTGTCTCGCTAGAACAATTACAACTGAGTAGTGAGTTCAATTCTCACTGGGTGCCCCCTAATTTCGGCCTTGTGCCACATCTAAGCTACGCTTGGAAAAATCACTATAATACTTTAAAATACAAGCTAGAGGACCTCACCCCCAAAAAACTTTCAGAAGAGCTAAGGTCATCATAAGATCTGATATGAAGAGAATTATATAAGTATTTTTTTGCAATTGTAAAATAGAGTTGATAAAAAATATTTCTCATATGTACCAATAATACTACTACTGCTAATAATAATCATCATTAATAATAATACTACTACTAATAATAATAATCATCATTAATAATAATACTACTACTAATAATAATAATCATCATTAATAATAATAATACTACTAATAATAATAATCATCATTAATAATAATAATACTACTAATAATAATAATAATCATTAATAATAATACTACTGCTAATAATAATAATCATTAATAATAATACTACTACTAATAATAATAATAATCATTAATAATAATACTACTGCTAATAATAATAATCATTAATAATAATACTACTACTGCTAATAATAATAATCATTAATAATAATACTACTACTGCTAATAATAATAATAATAATAATTATTAATCAGAATAGAAAATTTAATATTGCATTTACTTATTGATTTTTGCACATTAATCAAGTGATTAAATTAAATCAGTAATTTCTAATCTACAGTTACTTTTAAATTTTTAAAGTAATTAATACTAATTATTAACAAAACCATCAGTATACAAAGAAAGTAAAATAAAAAAAATGTTTGGATTTAAGCAAGATGAAAACATTATGGCAATGAAGCAAATCTTTGCAAAGGATTTTTTTTATATGTATATATTACAAACGATATTGTTAGTAATTGTGAAGGATTACTTACAGATTTGGTGTTTTACTTACTGGATAAGTATTAATGCATATTATTATAATATGCTTTACAAATAGCACAGAAAGTTGCCTTACTTTTCTAATGACTAACAGCAGACAGCAAATAATCAATAAATGTAACTAGCAATACAGTATGACAGATATACAATAATCTGTTAGACTATCCTGTTAGTAACTAGAAATATAAACTATAAAAGTATTAATGTAGGTCAAAGTGTATAAGAATGATAAATTAGGGAAGAAAAAGGGAACAGATTATTATAAAGTAATACTAATTTAAAAAAGGCAATAAAAGGAGACGGGAGGGAAGGAAAAGAGAAGTGGGAGGAAGAGGGGAAGGAAAGAAAAGGAGACGGGAGGGAGTGAAGGAAAGAAAAGGAGACGGGAGGGAGGGAAGGAAAGAAAAGGAGACGGGGGGGAAGAAAAGGAGACGGGGGGTAAAGAAAAGGAGACTGGGGAAAGGAGGAGAAGAGAGGAAAGAAAAGTAAAAGATGAAGGAGATGAAAATGAACGAAGAATGATGATGATATAAATATATTAAATGTTTAAATATGAACATCAAAAAGACAAGAATATCAATAAAAATGATCAATACATATAGGTGTGCTTTCTTATAAAGGATACTGACTTACAACATTTGGATAAAAAATAAATAAAATTTATTTAAATAAAAGATTCCATGAACATAAGAATCAAAAAATTGATAAAATGATTATAAATGTGGGTTTATTTTTCATTAAAGTTTTATTTTGTTTATTTAGACAAAATCTACATAAAAATCACATGTAAATATTTACTTATTTAGACAAAATCTACATAAAAATCACATGTAAATATATGTTAGTCCTACTGCGTAGTTAGGACAGCTAAATATTTCTCACTGGTACTCATGGCTTCAGTTCAAACACAAACAAGAACAGATTTCTGAATGCCAATTTTCAAGATAAGCTTTCTACATATGCATCATCAGTATAACAATTTTTTACTAGACTAAACTTACTAAATATCTACAATAATAAAATGTATACTCAAGATCAGGCTTATAGGCAGATAAAGTTTATGAAAAAAATTAACAATCTCATTAAAAAATGGGGAGATTATTCATCAGCCCACAATTTAGTTTAATTTGATTAATAGTTGATTTCACTTAAATAATTTAAATACTTTATATTTGTCAGTTAAATCTGAATAATATCAACAAAAGGAAATTGTTTTTTTAAAAATTATTTCCTTCATAAGGCAAAGATGACCCTTTATTACTAAATAGAAACATCCCTATATACAGTTATATATATATAAGGGGTGCTGAAAAGTTCTTGGCTCAGCAAATTTACCATAAATTAGTTCAAGTAAATGAGCATGAAAATTTTATTTTTAATCCATTTCTCAAGCAAAGAACTTTACAGTACCCCATTGTAAATATATCCTTATACACCTAGCAATATATATGAAGCATCTAGAACTCAGCTCTCCAATGAACGATTCTGACCCACTATCCATTACACCACCTGCACATCCAAGCGGTCACTTACCGAGGTACTGACCAGCCTCGACATTGCTTAACTCTGGTGATATTACAGGAATCAGTATTTCAACATGATATGGCCATATGCCAATATATTATCAGATAAATATTTAAATGAACATACCAATGCATTCAGTTACTAAATGTTTTCTGTTCCACATTGCACGCATGTATGTATGCATGTGTGTATATATATATATATATATAAACAAATAAATAAAATAAAAAATAGAGCATTAATAGCAATAAATAACATTAAATGTTCACTTATCTTGTCCTTATTCTAAATTGTGGATATGACATCCACTCAGAGCAGGGTCAAGATAAGTGTACTTTTATTTTTATCATGATTTATCATATACACACACACACATATATATATATATATATATATACACACACACAAGAAAGTTTTGCTATAAATAAATGATAATTATTTTCTTAAATAAACAAGTGATACACTGTTGGAACTCCAATTCTACAATTCAAACAAAAGTGCTCACTTTAACATCCACAGCTCATATGGCAAAACCAGACCATAATTTTGTCCACATCTGTGCACCTATTTCTGGAATACTACTCAGAAATACTGTGGTTATGAAATATCTTTTCTGACCAATCTGAAAAAGGTATATGTGGTTTTCACAGTAACCGTTTCTGAGCCACAGATTCACTATAAAGCCAATTCTGATTTCACCCATGAAGTCAGATCTGACCAGGCTGGTATTAGTGATAGACCCCATGGCAGGCAAGCTTAACTGAACATGGCAGGCAAGGCAAATCAGCAGTCACACAAAAAACACTTCCATTAACAGTGCTGCTTTTGGCCAGTTAGTCTCTGCTGTTAATTGTTTGATCAATTGCAGAGGCTAACTCTCTACTACATATGCCTGTTTTCTCCCACAAGTCCCTCTCACTAAACTATGTATGCATGTTGATTTTCTCCATATGTCTATGTTGACTACTACCTTATGTTATACCTCAAACTCAAGGTCTCCCCACTCCACAACTGATATACAATATCTGGAACAAACAAAAGAACTTCATGAATCACAGAAAATAAAAATTCTTTAATTTATGGCAACCATGTTGTATCTCCAGTTGTTTTATTATTCCCCTTTTTTTCTTTTTAACAGTAAGACCACCATTACAAACAATAAGAGTCTACATAGTTCATTCAATTAAGAATGTAAGTGATAAGATAAACAACAAGACAATTGATCTTGAAAAGATGTTCAAATTGACAGCCAAAAACAGTTATATATTTATCTACTCATTAAATATAAGCAAAAATAGCTAAATATAAACTAACAATGAAGATTAAATAGTAACATGTTTACTATTATTAATTAAGAAACAGAAACATTGTCAGAAAAAAAAATGTATAAGAGTGGTTAACTGCTATGTTATATCAATCTGTCTATATAGCAATGAATGCTGGAAAATTTCCCTACAGATGAAGATTATGGAAATGGTAATATTAACTGTTTCATTTTCCAAACAGCTTGTACTAATTCAAGCTGAAATTTATAAAATATTTCCCATAAAACAATTTTTCAGGAAAATGGATTTCTCAAGTTCAATAGCTATTATTACCTTTTCTAGTATTGATAGGGGTTTCCTTACTAATTTTATGTTTAAAATAATGTGGAATGTCAACATTTTAATAGTGTCATTATTTTCTCTTCAAGTTACATGTGATATTCATTTTAGTTGTTGCTGTTATTGAATGTTCTCAACTGATGTGGTTTCTGTTATTTGGTACAGTTCTTTGTGAATCTGTAGCATGGATCCACAAGGTTCAAAGAAGTCTGGTCTTTGCCAAGACCCACAAGTTTCACTTGGTCAAAGCAATCTTTAGGCAACAAATGTTTTTTATGCTAAAAATAACATGGATGGAGCATTTGAGCAATAATAAAGCTTTAAGGAAGACAGGTTCGTCTATCGTCTGGCTCACACTCCTCCCCCCCCAGTTTTTTGAACAGGAGTAGAGGTTTATCCCTTGCTTCCTGTTTAAGATTGGGTTTCCAGTTCCTTCTAAAGTCTATTTCAACTCTATACTCCTAACACTTGTTCTTATGTTAATAAAACTCCACACAGTAACCCTCTACCTTGAGTGGCTCTTAGGCCATGTATTGGATGAACATTAGTTAAAAAGATTAAAAAAAAAAAAAGGCTTTGTAAATTTAACATTCACAATATATATTGATTGCAAAAGGGACAGAAGGCAGTGGGTAACCAACTGAACAAGCTTGTGTCGATGACAGAACAGTAGTGAGTGGGAGAGATAGCAAAAAGAGAAACATTGCAAAGATAGGAAGTTGTGGAAAGCCATAATTTATCCATGTCATGAAGGGACACAGCACAGTGAAAAATATGTGCATCTTGCAGTATATTCTGTTTTGTTTTTGATGCACATGTGCATCACCTGGTACTTTGAAAGAAAGAAAAAAAAAAAACATCAGGGCCAAGAACATACATTAGTGTCCTTTAATAAATTTAATTTCACTTACCAAAATAAAACATAAGACTTACATAACAATGTCTAACAAAAATATAGATGGCATTATATAAAGGTTTGAATATTCAAAGTAACAGCGGATGTGTTAAGGAATATATTTTTTGCTATATAATGTGAATAATAAGTTTTATCACAGAGAGTTGGAATCATTCTGGTGAACAGGGTAAGGGTTCTTCAACCTACCCTAAACCATGACCCTCGCAGTATAACCCATTAGTGATTCTCAACTTTGATACCCATGCACCACTTATTTCAGAAAGTTATACTCCAGTTCCAAGACTGTTTGAAAAGTACACTGAAAAATTGTAGTTTCTAGAAAGACAAATATTGCAACAGTTTAACGTTGTAATAGAAGTTCTTAACTGCATTTCATTGTGCTTTCAGCAGAAAAACTTATTCCGGATCACTAAATAAGAGGATATATATAAGGTTGATGGGTGTGTGGCCAAGTGGTTCACTTTCTAACTATAAGACACAGGTTCAAATCTCACTCTGGTTGATTGATCAGAGAGGTAACTTTCTGGTGTTATTGGCCTGGGAAGGTAAACTGAATATGTGGTACCTTTGGAAAGTACCTAAATGTCATACAAATTGAATCAAGTCTTGTGAGTAAAATTGGACAGATGGAACTGTTCAGAAGTCATCGATGATTGTGTTATAATGACTGGTTTTAGGTATATTGGCCTTGTTCAAAAACAAGGATCACACCAGATATGCTCCCACCCAGAAATTGTATGCAAGGTCTGATCAGCATAGCTGCAGTATAAACAATAGAGCAGGCAATCATAATAGGTTTTGGCTAGCCACTCTGGTAGATGAGTGCAGTCAGAAACAAGTAGTAGCTAACTATTATATTAGGGTGAGTCAGAAATAATTTCTAATTTTGTTTATCAAAATGGTATAATTTCATTTTAAATTAAATAATCACCATTATTTGCATTGACTCATTGTCACTTATCAGGCAGCTTGATACATTTTGAGTAAAATTACTCAAGTTTTGATGCGAGAGACTTTTCAGAGAATACTTGAATCTGGTTTTTATTTGAGTTTTCTCCATCGAAGTGTTTTGGAGGAATTGAAAAAAGTAATACTACAGGAGGCACAGTGGAGTAATGGAGGCGGCTCGGATTGAAGAATTGGAGAGCCAAGTTCTAATTCCAGTCGAATCCATTACATTCACTTGTGTGCTAATACCCTTGGGAAAGGTATGAATCCTCTTCTTCCCCCACCAGCTACAAGTAAATAGCAGGACAGACCAGGTTCTATAGCCTTGGATGGCAACTAGTGTCTACTGCAGAAAGAAATGGCAACCTACTGCAGGAAAAAAAAATCTGCCTCGTCAGTCACATATTGAAAGATACATGATTGCCTAAGTGTGTATTACACATGACACATAACCGACTGAATACTTATTTAGTGCAAAGTCAGGTGAATATGGTGGAGTCTGGTAGAACAGACCAACCGAGTTCCAAAATTTTCTCCTGTGTTATTTTTGCTGTATACAGCTTTGAAT